TGATAATATCGTGCTTTCATCTCACTTCATGTGAACCTTAAAAGATCAGGTGCAAGGGAATTCAATATCCATACATAGTTGGGCAAACTGAGGCTCAGGGAGATGATATCATCTGCCTAAAGTCCCATGGTCTTCTGTATCTCCATATTCTAGGAGAAACAGTCTGTACTTCAAAGTTCTTAATAGACTGCAGACTTTGATTTCTACAGTAGTTAAGGAGCATCATCTCTAAGTTTTATTTTTCAGAATTTCTAGGAAAAATGATTTTTTTTTCCAAACCTGTGGATGAGATATCACAGGAAATCATACACGGAGATGCTCTTCTGGTTGGTGGCAGTGTGGGAAAGAGCTCCGTGTACAGCAACAGGACCACATGGTAAAAAGCATTTAACTATTGGTTTCTGAAGGGATGCATTTTTTTTTTCTTAAACATACCCTATGGTTTATTAAGTAAATGCAATAAACAGAAGCTAATTTTGAAGTTTAGCTGAGGCCACATTCCGTTTGCTGTTTCCACATTCGAGGTGATTAACGCAGATGTGGGTGTGTTTCAGGACTTCGGGCTTTTATCTTACGTAAGGTGTGACCACACTCCTGGGCGCCAGAACATGGTTTAGGCGATAATTGTGAAGCCACATCCAGTCTGATGTAGAATTAACTGAAAATGTTCCAAGCTTTTGTTCATCACCAAGTACAAGGTCATCTTTATAGGACCATCTGGACTCCCTTTTAACTCTTTCTTGTCAAAATTTTAAACTCAGCTGGAGCTCAAAGATGGATGTTGCTCCTAAGGACAGACGGATAATTTCAAAATGTGAGCCACAGGGAAAGCAGAATTTTCTAGAATCCTTGAAGGTAGACATGTGCTCTAGACCCTAGGTAGCTTCCACTGCTCAATTTATGAATGTGGGAAGTGGATCTCTGGGAGGTTTAGGGATTTGCCCAAGAGCACACAGCTTGGGGAGTGACAGAACGAGGACCTAAGATTACATCTTTAGGCTCCAAGTCCAATACTTAGTTTGCTAGTTGCATTCCTTGATGGAAGATGCATCTCAAGGAGTTTTCTGCAAATATTCTTATTTTGTAACCAACAGAAGTGTTTGGATGTAAAGTATTGGGATTAGAGAGGTGGTTTCAATCCCTACGTCCCTTCCCACCCATGCCAGCCACTCCAAAAGCTCGAACCTCTATCCCTGTTTTCAGTTCTCCCAATTTATCTTCTGCTGCCATCCATGGGACCTCACTCCAACCACCAACCCATGACTGTTCTCTTTGCTATATCCTTGTAACGTGTATACTAAGGTCACTGTTGTTGCAAGGGTGGGGCCATGGGAGTGGTTCTTCTGCTCAGCAGCAAAGGCAGCAACTGCTTGAAATTAGACCAATGAAGTACTTTTGGAAGGAGGAGTATTTTATCACTGACATTGTTGAGAATTTGTGGCATATAATGATAACAAAAAGCAAACTGACTTTCAGTTTAATTTTTTTTAAATAGACATTGTCCTCCCATTGGTTCCCATGACACTGACCTAGATTAAAGGACAGGAATCCCCCATGAGCTACTAACATCTATAAGGCTTCAAGTTCTTTATAAAGTGTTTTTGGTAGGGGGGTTAGGCGATGTACCATCATAACATTTTGAAAGTACATGCACTTTAAAAAAAATTTTTGAGGGGCATCTGGGTGGCTCAGTCATTTAAGTGTCTGCCTTTGGCTCAGGTCATGATCTTGGGGTCCTGGGATTGAGCCCCACATTGGGCTCCCTGCTTAGTGGGGAGTTTGCTTCTCTCTCTCCCTCTTCCCCTCCCCACCGCTGGTGCTCTCTCTCACTTGCTTTATCTCAAATACATAAATAAAATCTTTTAAAAAATAAATAAATTTGACACTGTGTATGAAATATTGAGCAGATCCCCAAGTATCATAAGGAAAGCAATTTTAGTAAATAAATTGCTTTGCTGAGAAGCCAGAATCTTAGAGCTTTATCTGGATTCATACAGGGTTTTAAATTTCGTGTGTTTCCATTAGCAAAGAACTTTTAGTTCTGCTTGTCATTGGGCTCCCAGGAAAGTGGACATTTTAATACATTTCAGGTTGAAGAAGTCCTGTGTAAGGGATTAAGGGATTAAGCCTAGGTCAGATCTGGACATTGTACCCATGGGTGTGTTAGCTAATCTGGCTAATCATCAGTTTCTCCATCTATAAAATGGGAATAATAGAACCTACCTTATAGAGACATTATGGGCATTAAAATCAGTTGCATAAAGGACTTAGCCCTGTGCTGGCACCTATTAAACACTCAATAAATGTTTAGCATCATTTTTGTCATTATCTAGTGGCCAAAAGATTGTAAATTCTTAATTCATTTTTTTAAAGATTTTTACTTATTTATTTGTCAGAGAGATAGAGAGAGAGAAAGTGCACAAGTAGGGGGAGTGGTAGGCAGAGGGAGAAGCAGGTATCCTCCTGAGCATGGAGCCTGATGTGGGACTTGACCCCAGGACCCTGGGATCATGACCTGAGCCAATGGCAGTCGCTTAAAATACTGAGCCATCCGGATATCCCTAAATTTTTAATTCTTAAAAATGTGCTCTGTTACAAAATTCAGCATATGTTCTTTATTTCTCTCCAATGAGGAACATGGAAACCCTAGTATGGGTATTTAAGGACCTAACCTCCCTTCATTGTGGTTAATATTTTTATTTAGCAAATTTCTCCTAGGGCACTAGATGGCGACCTTCTCCTTTAGGAAAAAAAGGAAACAGCATAAAACTGGTTTCATTAATACTTTGGCTTTGATAGTTGAAACTTACTGCTACAGATTTAAAAGCGAACAACACAGAGTAAAGCCATGTCTTTCACTGCTAAAGGGGATCAGAATCATAGAATTTCTAGATTTTCAGGTGTCAGGGTAGGAACAGTGTGTTTGGGAAAACATTGTGTGTGGGCTTTGGGAATCCTGGAGGGACACTTATTAACTTAGGTGACCTTGGACCTTGCCTTTCAAACTCTAATTTTTTTTCCTTTATAACGTGAGGTGATTTGGTTAGATGATCTTGGACGTTGTTTCCAGCTTTGAAATGCTATGATTTTTAATAATACTCTTCTACCAGGCTCTTTGTGAAGTGTTCCTTGTGCTCTAAATTAAATATTTGTTAAGCCAGTGGACAAGATTTAATGTCAGTAGGTGTTGACATTACTTAAGTTGAAACTGATACATTAAAAACTAAGTAATTCTGGAAGACGGGGATGAAGTTAGGTTTTGAGGTGTGTGTGTGGGCGTGTGAAATCTTGGTCTAAATGTTCCTTTTCAAAAAATAAGCAAGGAGGGGCGCCTGGGTGGCTCAGTGGGTTAAGCCTCTGCCTTCAGTTCAGGTCATGATCTCAGGGTCCTGGGATTGAGCCCCACATCAGTCTCTCTGCTTGGTGGGGAGCCTGTTTCCCCCCACTCTCTCTCTGCCTGCCTGTCTGCCTACTTGTGATCTCTCTGTCAAATAAATAGATAAAATCTTAAAAATAAATAAGCAAGGAGAAACATTTAAATATATGCATTTAAGACAATGTAAAATTTGAAAGAACCTGTCCCAGAGTCATTTTAAAACAATTTCTATCTCTTCTATAAAGTTGAGCCTCTGCTAGAGTTTTGAATGTGACAAAGTTTTTGTTTCTAATGTATTATTTTAAAAGGCCAACTGTTTTGAGCGTTCCTAAAAGGATTCTAGCAGTTTAAATTGCTCATAGATGGAAGCAACAGAATACTAACTATCAACAAGACCAAGAACTCCTTCTCAAATACGAGTAAATAAAGCCAGCCTTCAGCATCTGGTGTGATTAAGAAATTCAGATGTGGCTTGGAATGTTTTTAATTTAAAATAATCAGATGAGTAGAACTGACAGTAAATAATAAAGAAATCTCCAGAATAAAAAGTATTTTAGGATTTATTTATAAACCAAAGTATATGCCTGCTTTTCCTTAGGTGTTTCAGACAAGGTAGAAAGATTTTTTCTTTTTATAAGCAGCCAGTGCTTAAACCTTGATCTTTCTTTTTAAGGGAAGTTACTATTTCAGAGAAAGTGCTTTGGCATCTTAGTCTGCATCTATATCTTTTCCCCTTTAAAAAAAAGATATACTATTCTGTTGATCATTACCTGGAGATGTGCTCCCCCCACAGTCACAAACTCACACAATGATTTACGTGAAGAAAAAGGCTCTCCATGACACACACAACAGATAAGGAAAAGATATTGTAGGCATTAGCAAATACTCTGGCAAATTGTAGGCATTAGCAAATACTCAAAGAGGTAGAACAGCCCTTTAGCAGAGGGTGAGGGGGTGGACCACAGGTAAGGGAAAAACACAGATCACAGATACAATTTTCCCCCCAAACTTGCAGGTTAGCACTAGTGGTCACCATTTCTCAACTGTGGGAGCCGATGTCGTGATGTAATTTGGATGCCCAATGCACACATTTTAACTGTAGCAGATGAGATACAATCCAGGCTCTAAGAAGTTGACAACAGTATGGCCTTCCCCAGACCCCGCCAAACACTGGGCTCATTACCATGCACCTATTTCATTCAACTTTCCTACCAAGGGCTCACCATTTCCAGTAAATTTTTCTGCTGAAAAAACTTCGAATTCCTATTTTCCTGTCATTCTTGTTACTTGGGGTCACAAGCACAGGGCTGCACAGTAAGAGAAACACACGCGCGCGCGCGCACACACACACACACACAAACACACACCCTACCTCATCCCGAGAAGAGAAATAAAAAGTGAACACAGACATGAATTTATGCAGGTTACGGACTCGAAGGCGGTCTCATATTTCTGAAATATCTCGCACTGTCTCTCACACACACCCCACCAAGTCTTTAGGCTCCGGTTACAAGGGCTGCGTCATCTGCCAGATCACATGGTAATTGTTGCTATTTCCAGGATCAAGTGGCATAAAGCTCCCCCCACCCCACCCCTTCCCTTTGGTACCATATAGCGTGGAAGAGTGATTACTGTGTGATGGGGTGAGCCCGGCTGTCTGGTCCAACCCTGCAGCGGGAAGCCAGGCTTTAGGTGGGGTGGCGCGCGCGGTGTTCTCACGAGCCACTGGGAAAGGGGACGGGGGAGGGGGTCTCAGGGGAGGCCGGGCGGCTCTAATTGGTTTCTCAATGAAAGATAATCACCTAGTCCCCCGAGAGGCTGGGGATTAGCACTCTGCCTCTCGTCTCCGCCGCTTTTAGACGTCTCGTCCTCCCCTCGGAGCTTTCAGCGCCCTCGGCAGAAGGGGCTCGCAGACCGCGGCTCCCCGCGCCCGCCGGCCGCTCCGGGGGGCAGCGCAGCCGCGCGCTCGCACTCGGCGCCCCCTCGGCTCCGTCGCCGCGCTCGCCTCCCCCGGCCGGCGTCCGGCCGCGCCCGAGCAAAGTTTCGCGGAGGGGCCCCGGGAGGAAGATGAGCGAGCTGGAGGAGGACTTCGCCCAGATTCTCATGCTCAAGGAGGAGAGGATCAAGGAGCTGGAGAAGCGGCTGTCGGAGAAGGAGGAGGAGATCCAGGAGCTGAAGAGGAAGCTGCACAAATGTCAGTCGGTGCTGCCCGCACCCTCGCCGCACATCGGGCCACGCACCACCCGGGCGCAGGGCATCTCGGCCGAGCCGCAGACCTACCGCTCCTTCCACGACCTTCGACAGGCGTTCCGGAAGTTCACCAAGTCCGAGAGGTAGGCGCGGGCCGGGCGCGGCGGGCCGGACCGAGCCCAGGGCCCTCTCGGGCCGGGGGCGCGGGCGCGCGCGAGGGGGGTGGGCGCGGGGGCGCCCCCTGCTCGCCGCCGCCTCGCGGAGTGGGGTGGCCCCCGCGGCCCGGGGCCTGGGAAGGGTTTATTTTTATTCCTGCCCGTCACGTGCCGCGCCTGGCTCTGCGGGGCTGGGAAAGGCGAGCTCCTCGGGGAGACGCGCCCCGGTGGCGTGGGGGGTGGGGAGGAGGCAGAAAGTTTGCTCGCGCCGCTAACTCGGCCGCCCCGCACCCGACTGCGGGAGCGCCGCTCTCCGTGCGCGCGGCGCGGCGGGGACGGCCTCGCCGGGACAGAGGCGCGCGCGTCTCGGAGCCGCAGAGCTCCCCAAGGCGACCCCAGGCCCCGGCCGCGGGGCGTGCACGGTGGTGCGGAGTCGGTGTCCCGGGGGAGGGGCGGCGGAGGCCGGCCGGGGTCGGGCTGGGCCGAGGAACTGACTCGCCCGGCGCAGGAGCCCTGCGGGGACGGTACAGGGGCGTGGGGAGGCGGGACGGGGGCGCGTCTCCGCCGCCGGGATCCGGCCTCCGGGGTGGGGAGACCGGGAGAGGTTTATTCACAGGGTCCCTTCCCAGGCAGCTGTGATGTCAGCAAGAAATCGCAGAGAAGCCCCACTTTCTGGACGTTCGTGTGTCGTGTTTGTGTCCCTTCCAGAAGAGCCACACCTGGGGCTGCCCTGGGCTCGGAGGCGGCTCGGTGACCTTGTACCTGGAGCAGCTCTGGGGCTGCCGGCCAGCCGTGTCCCCGGGTGGCTAAGGCGGCCTCCTTGTTGTCTTCAAAGTTGGGGTGAAGAGGGAGGGGAGCTGTTTCTCTGGGCGCCTCCAAGCTCCTTCCTTTCCTCTCCCGGACACTATAGGAGCCCAGTCCTTGCCCTTTCGGAGTTGTGTGTCGCGCGGTGGCGGTGCGGGGGTGGGGGGTGGGGGGGTGGGGGGGTGGGGTGATGGTGAGGGGGAGGAGGACTTTGGCCACAAGTAAGAAGCTCTTGCACTCCCCTCGCCGCCTGCACCGGAGGAGGCTGATCGATTGGCTGCAGCATTAAAACGCCTCTGGACATTAGGGAGAGGAAGTGCAGACTCCAGAGCCCATTACTGGCTTTTAGCCCCTGGAAGCGCCCCGCCGAAAGTGCATTTCGCAGGATATTGAATATTCCATTAGTCGTGCCTTCATGCCCGCCTACCTCTTACCCCTTCCCTCTTAGATCACTTGGTGTCTGAGTTTGGGGCTCTCAGGGGACCCCTCAAATGAGCCGGCACTTGGAGGCCGGCACTTCTGAAGGGCACGCGTTCTTGTCCAGCGTCCATGGGCCCCCCACTCTGCCTCTGCACCCCTTCCTGGTCTGTCTCTTCTGTGCATTGATTAGTGTTCCTGGGTGGTGGGGGACGGGGGCCCAGGAGACTGGGCAGGGAGGGGTGAGGAGCTGTTAGAAGAGGGCCAGGACCTGGGAGTGGGCCGGGGAGCAAAACAGGAACCATCCCGAAAGGATTCTCCTTTGGAACGTTGGGCGCGTTCCCAACCTACGTCTCAGGAGACGGTTTTCGAATTCCTGAGGGACACTCCAATTACACAGTGACACTGTCCACATGGCACCTTTGGGCCCAGACGGCCGTGAAAGTCCCTAGCCGGTGGACCGATGGCTTTCTTCCTGCTGCCAGGCCCAGACTGCAGCCGCCGCTCCTGTCTGGCCTGGCCCTTGGTGGGGAAGCGGCTGTCCCGGGCTGGGCTGAGGCTCTGCGCATTCCGCGGCCGCTGCCCTGCCCCTCGCTCAGCAGCTGGAATCAATCTGCCCACCTCCTTAAGGAGCCACTTCAACAGCGGTCACCCGGCAGCTGCTCCCCTCCCGGCCGAGTGGCCGGCCGGCGCTTTAGGGCATTTTTGGAATTTCAGATCCCTGTGTCTCGGCTGTGCCCCTACCAGAAACCAGCGGCCCTCCGCAGCTCGGGGGAGCCCGCCACCCCCACCCCCTCACCCCCCCACCCCCCCCCGCCCACCAACTAAGGCTCTGCAAGGGCCCCGGAGCAAAGCCTCCCCACCCTGAGTCCACCGTCACTCGGGAGTCTGTTCTCAGAGACGCTTTTATTCTCCTGGAGGAGCAGATCTCTCTGGGAATGAGAGGAGGGTTTGTGTGCACGGGGAGGAAATGGCTTGTCTTTGCACACATCGTCCTCCCTTGCCAAGCCTCCCTGCCCCCAGCTCAGTGGACTTAGGGGTAGGAGCCTTCAGCCCCTGCGTGGATCATGCGCAGTAGAGGTCAGCGGGTTTTTGTGTCTAGAGTAAATCGCAGGAGCCCTTTCCTGCTTCCTCTCTGCCCCGATTTACGCTGGGATTGAGGGTAAACTTCCCCCCACTCAGTACTTAGTTTTTTAGTTTTCAGATGGGAGCCTGGAGTGTATTTTCGGCAAGCTGACTCAGAGTTTAAAGGATTTTGACAGGTATGATATATGGGGCTAGTAACCCTTGGAATCAGGTACTCATCCTACCCCTTAAAGAGACAATAGCAACTTAATTATGGGTCAGACATTTGTTCTGGTCAAGAAAGGAAGTCCTTTAAACAGTATTTCTCAGATCCAGCCTTTAACAGCAAACAAGAGGCTCTCAAAAGAAAGCGTATTTTCCACCTTTCCGATACTTAGCTTTGGAGACGAGGTATGTCCTCACCTCTCGCACCTCTTGTGGAACTCTGTGCCACCCGGATGCGCTTGCCAGAGCTGAGGAGACCGCCTTACTGCGCAGTTCAAGTTCACTGGCAGTTGCTATAGAATTTGAGGGATAGCTTTTCATGGGTTCATTTCAAACTTTTCTAGGACATGAAGTTTTTGTTCGAACAAGACACGTACATGCAAAGTACAAGAGTCTGTCTGGTGGGCAGAATGATAAAAGCGCTTTCGCCTCCAAGCCCTGTTTGAGAAAATGACGGCAATCTAAAATATTTACATAATAGGTGACAAAAATATCTTAAGCGTTTATTGCAGTGGAAGGAAATGGGAGAATTCACTGACGGTTGTAATCAAGTCAGTCCAATTAGCCAGACTTCCATGTGTCCACAGAGGATATACGGCACAGTCTCCATTAAGAGTGATCTAAGTATCCAAGGAATGCTTAGATGAAAATTATACTAGGGAAAGGGAAGATCTGAGTGCTCAGCTTAAGTATCAAGTGTACAGTATGATGATCATATTTAAAAAGGAAGCGTCCGGCTTGCTTCAGTTCTCATTTGCAGACCCCATAGAAATGCCCGGTAGGGATCAAGTGATTATCTTGGAAAACTGTAGGACGATGATGATATTGTGAATTTACATAACACTTTGCCCATCAAGTCCGAGTGTTTCACATAGTTTTCTGTGAACTTGCAATTCCCTGCGTGTACACACCCCAAGTCAAGAATTACCTAATATCCTGAATTCTTTCCCTGAGTTTTACACACACACACACACACACACACACACCTCCATTCCTTATTTTGGCTGCCTGTCTGGCTCCAAGGACTGCAAACAGTTGTTGTTGTTGTTGAAGTAGCTTGAGGGCAGGCTGGAATCAATATTAATCTGTGACAGGGACAATAGATTGTATCCCAAAGACATTCAAGATATTCTTGTCACAAATCCCTCCATTCTTGGTGATGTAAGTTCGTCATTTGGAACTTGAACTTCCCTCCACTGGGACATGGATGCTTGGGGATGGATGCCCCAGAAAGCTCATTGCTTTTTGCATCTCTCATTCAATTCAGGTCTGGTTTAACCTTCAGACTAAATCAAGGGATTTGGCCTAGTTTCCACATAAGCCACCTCAATGAAATGAGTGAGTAGCCGCTGAATTCTGGGCCTGGCTTATTAATTGTTCATAGAGAAAACCCACAGTGCTCTGAAATATCTAAGGTAATAAAGAGAGTGGATCCAAGGAATGTGAGTCCCGAAGAAGTCACTGGCCTGAGATCTCACAGCTAGGAAATGCGAGAGACAAGTTTCAACCCCAAATCTTGACGTTTCTGGAGCCCAGGTTCTAAGCTGCAACGTTTTCATCATCTTGGATAGCTCAGGTCCTATCTTGGTAATGGGTGAGTCCTTTCAAAATTGAAATAAAAGAACCTGTCCTAAATCAGAATAGGATCTTTGTTAGAAGAGTCTTAGGGCCAGCACTTAACTGACCTCCGGAGAAGTGGCAACAAGCCCTTGTGTACAGCACACACACTTGGATGTGCTCATGAGTCTGGGATTTCCTCAGGCAGTCCTGGCCTTGAGCTTGCCATATACCAGTCTTTCCCTTTGCTTCCTTCCCACCTTTCTCATGCCCGAGGCAGAGCTGATAAATAGGATGGTTGTGACAGTGATCTCGGTTGCCTCCTTTGGACATCATTCATTATTATATCCTTTACCTTTTTTTTTTTTTTAAAGATTTTATTTATTTATTTGACAGAGATCACAAGCAGGCAGAGAGGCAGGCAGAGAGAGAGGAGGAAGCAGGCTCCCTGCCGAGCAGAGAGCCCCATGCGGGGCTCGATCCCAGGACCCTGGGATCATGACCTGAGCTGAAGGCAGAGGCTTTAACCCACTGAGCCCCCCAGGCGCCCCTATCCTTTACCTTTTGCCTTGCAGACCAATCATACTATTCCTTTCTCTCTACCAGTCCTCCCTCCTAAAGGTATCTATGACAAAGTAACAGTTTCTCGCTATGTTACTGGTTATCCTTTCCAGAGTAACATAGTTGAACAGCTTCTGGGAGAGGACATTGATTTAGTTTGCCCGGATGAGTGATAGCTATGACAAGAGATTAAGGGGATTCAGGCTGAGGAGGACAGGGAAGATGTTTTGTCAGTGTCCTGGGGTCTCCCCACATGTCATTGGGAGAGGACAGATTCTGAGCATAAGCACCTCACACCTCCTTTTGGTCAAAGCTGTACCCTGCTTTTAGTGGGGAGAAAACGGAGCAAATTGTCCCTG